CACAACCATTAAACCTCGAAAGCCACTGCCCCTGTCACCACGTCCATGTTATTCAATCGAATGGGCCCTACATCAAACCCAGCCTCTGGTTGTTTTCTGTTTTTCCTCTTTTGGACTGGGATGTCACTTGAATATGGCAGCTCGGCCGAAGTATTGGCGGGGTGGTCGTTGTTCCGGTCCGATCTGGATCAGCTGTGTACGGCCTTTTTGGTTTGTGTGCGAGTCCCCAGAGCGCACACAGCTGTTGCCCATGTATGTTGACCTACATGATGGGGACCCCCATGAGTATATAGTCTCGTTCGGTGGGGAACGTACATAAATGGTGCCCCTCCGACCTCAGCTGTGTGGAGCAGCTGTGAACCTCCCCTGAGTTTATCGAAGGAAGTTATTTGTTATGTTGCCGTGAGCCTATTACCAAGATCTGTGACATGAAGTTATTAAACTGAGTTTGAAATTGTACAAAAGAAGAGAGAGTTATAATTGTGGAAAGGTAATTATAACGTGTTGTGCAACGTCTAAGAATAGATATAACGAGTGTGGGAAGCATACTTCTTGAGTGAGTTACAATTCTATTGGATCAGAACAGCAGTCACTTGAATGAACAAAGTAAATATGGATGAATGATTATTAATGAAAAAGAACAAGAATTCTAGCAAGGGACATTTGTGGAACTGTTTATTTAATTATTTGCTAATACATAATAATTAAATAAACAGTTTCCACAATGTTCCATGCAGAATCTTGTTTCTTTTTCATTAATAATCATTCATCCATATTTACTTTGTTCCATTCAAGGAATGCTGTTCTGATCAATTAGAATTGTAACCTACTAAAGAAAGTTGCTTCCCACCACTAGTATTACCTATTTTAGACGTTTGCACCACAATTATAATTTACATTACTTTCCCACAATTATAAACTTCACTTTTGTAACAATTTCAAACTCAATTTTATACACTTCTTGTCACAGACTCATTGGTAAATAGGCCTCACGGCAAAAATAACAAATAACTTCATTCGATAAACTCAGGGAGGTTCAACACTGCCTCCACACAGCGAGAGTCGGAGGGCACACTTTACCGTACGTCCCCCGAACTGACTATACCCATCGGGGTCCCCTCATGTAGGTCAAGAAAACATACATGAGCAACAGCTGTGTTCCTGGGGACTCGCACACAACCCAAACACCAGGCCCGTACACACTTATCCGATCGAACGGACAACCGCACCACCCCCGCCAATACTTCCCGAGCTGGCCATATTCAACGTGACATCCCAAGTCCAAAAGAGGATTAACAGAAACAACAGAAGCTGGGTTTGATGTGGCCCATCATATTGAATAACATGGACGTGTGACAGGCAGGGGCTTTCGAGGTTAGGGTTGTGGCTGGTGGTGAATGTGGACTCCACTGAGGAGGTTGGGAACGCCATGTCCAACTTTTCAAGGACGTTATGAATATTACCATGGCAAAAAATGACATGGCTATACAAGAAGTTAATAAAAATATACTGAAATTGCATTATTAAAAAGACTAAATACAAATACCAAGAAAAGACGTTTTCTTGGTAGCATGTTGTCCCCAACAGAAATTTGCCGTATCAGAACCACAAAAGGCAGCTTTATTCTATTAGAAAAAAAAATAAACAATCTGTTCCAATTGGCAAGACCAAGAATGCATCCATGTGAATACTAGGGATATGGAGAACAAAAGTTTTGAAAGAATGAGATTACCCCAGCTTTTTTTATGTTTAATCTGACCTTGGCCCCCCTATAATGGCTGCTGGTTCCATAAACTATAACCATCACACGACACATATTTATCATATAATAATTTGCAGTAAAGTACGACGCTGATTACACCTGCCGTTACTATGTGCACATGGAGAGCACAAACCCCCGCCATAAAATAATATAAAATATTTTTAATTTTGCAACTCGTTTTAGAACAATCCTTCTAATTTTGTCCCCATTGGTGATTTATTTTCTTGTTAACGCATGTCACATCAAGGAAACTTCCGATTATGATATTTTGACCAAACCCAAATGTCGATAGCACAAGCGTACAGATGGATTTTGTGTTGTTTTTCCTCTTTATAAGGAAATGATTTTGCCCTTTGGCAACACGCTTTCGTCATCACTTATGTGTGTGTGTTGAAGGAGCATTGGAGGCTTTATGCTTTATAAAACGTGTAAGTGGTGGTCTGTTTAAAACAAAGTATATTTTGTTTTAGTTAAAAAAGATCTCTTTGAGTAATATCCCCCCCCCTCAGGAAGGGCGACAGTGGCTCAGTTTGGTTAAGCCATTGGGCCTTTAGGCTTGAGGTTAGTGGGTTTGAGCCCAACACTAAGATCTATTTCACACTCCACTGAAGTCTGCTGTCATTGTGTCCTTGGCAATATACTTAACCCCACTTTGCATGAAGCCCCCGCTGGAATACCTAGGCCAGCTCAGACTAGAGCACCATCCTCCTGTGGACACCTGCAAGGAGGATCATTGAGGGCTGGGCTCTGTGAATTAGGTGGCAGCTCTGATTATCACTCCCTAAACCCAACATTGGAATTACGGAAAGAAAATAAATGGATGATGGAATTCCTGTAGTGCAATTTTTCCTCTACATTTAACCCATCGGATGCCACTAAGCTAGGTCGAGCGCATGGTCGCTGTAGGAACCCTTCCCCAGACCTGAAGACTTCTTACTGAGAAACGAGAGCAGACGATCCAATACAGCCACCGTGCTGGCCCATTCTTGCCTCTGGAGTGTATAATACAGATTTATGAATGACATAATTGAGCAGACATTGGCATCATTGTGCTTAAAATTAAAACCCTCAAAAAAGTTACCTCTGATTCACCACAAGCTATCATGATATCTTTGGGACATGAAAAAGTCCTAAAACACAGAGACTTTGTTGGTAATAAAAAAAAATTGGTCACGTAAAAGAAAAACAAACCACACTCAATACAAAACAACAAACTACATCCCCGCTAGTTTGGAGGTTTGGGAGGTTGCATGAGACCCTCGTGACCTTCCGTGGAACACTGCTGCAGGAAAGGCTCTGTGCCATTTTCAAAGTGTGCGCGTGACACAGCGAATAAGAGGCTTGGTGTGGTGACAGCTCACACTGGCTGCACTTGGCCCTAACAGTGACAACGGCATGACATGCTTCAAGGACGGGGGCGGTGATTGGCCCATACAGGAGCTTCAATACAACGGCTACTGGATGACAGGACAAACATGGCAACACGAGTTTGCAAAGTTGTTCCCTATTATGCACATCAGAAAGTGGAAGAAGGCTGTTAGATTATGCTCCGGACCCAGCTTAGCGTCCTCCGCATCACTCCGACCTCAACAAACTCATCTATTTTAATGTTTATCCAACTCCACGACACAGGCAGAATGCTGATTGTCAGGGCACAGACAAGGGGGAAAGACATTCTACAGCCTTTCCATTTAAAAGGGACATACACCATGCAAAATCTAAGTTTCACACCTTTGACCATGTTTAAGTTGGCTTTTTCACACTCGACTTTGGTGTCCACGTGTGGACTCATTCCATGTTTGAGTAATTGACCATCTCCCTACGTCCAGACATAATTTCTTTGCTCTTCCTTAGAGCCACCACCCCTGTAAAATGGGAGTCGTACATCCGTTTTCTAATGTTTGTTATGAATCAATGTCATTTTGCTCAAAGAACAAAACATCACTTGCTAACTTGGTCCTGCAAGTAAACGAGCATTTGGATGTGGCATACCTACTGAGCTTATTTAAGGCTGGGTCAGGGCTGGTACAATACACTTTGCGCTTACAGAGACATGAGATTATAGCTGTAGCTAGTTTCCAGCTGCACTTCCTGGTCACAGAGAAACACCTGTATCTGACATCCATCTGTTTACATCTGTCAACAACACTTCACCTTTCACTACATTTCCTTCTGTATCAGCACATTTACATTTCCTTCTGTATCAGCACATTTACATTTCCTTCTGTATCAGCACATTTACATTTCCTTCTGTATCAGCACATTTACATTTCCTTCACAGTTAAATATATTTACAACAGAGGATAGAGGTCATTTACTCATTTAAACTGTGCAGAGTCTCTTTAACCCTTTAATGGTTTGCTCACTTTTTGAGTCACTACATGTACTTGATGCATGCTTGGACTTTTACTATCAAGCTACCATCAAGCTACCATCAAGCTACCATCAAGCTAATCTCAACTGGTTTGTATGGTTTATGTATAAAAAAAAGGGATATACTGCTAATGTACAGATGTAAACATACTGCTGCTAATGTACAGATGCTAACATACTGCTGCTAATGTACAGATGCAACATACTGCTGCTAATGTACAGATGCAACATACTGCTGCTAATGTACAGATGCTAACATACTGCTGCTAATGTACAGATGCTAACATAACTACACTTTACTTGCACTAACACACAGTACTTTATACTTGCCTCTTATTTTGTCAAATGTTAAATTCTTACATGTATTATATTTTCAAGATAGAGATTTTAAACTTATTATTGATGCTAGAGTTAGATTGTTTTTATTTTTATTAGTAAAGCTATTGTTCAGGTAACGTTCTGTGTGCTCCTCTTTCCTACTGTCCTATAACCTGTGATGCAACACTGACATTTCCCCACTGTAGGACAAATAAAGGATCTCTTAATCTCCTAATCTTAAAATTCATCCCCTTTAAAAAAAATAATTATTAATATGTTATTAGTGGTCCTACAAAATACATAGTAAATATTATATGGTTAAAATAATGTTGATTTTAAAAAAGAGAATCCTCACGACTCATTCATCTTGAAGATAATCTGAATTTTGTCAAAGTAAAACATTTGTGGCCAAAGTCAAAATCTCAGCCTTTTTAGACTAAAACCGTACAAAGCATCGTGTTTGTCCCGGGAACAGAAATAGCATCAATCCATGTGTGACTCTATAGTGCTCTTCTCTGTTGGGAGTCGGGAGAACACCACTAAATGTTCAAGTGGAGGTAAGTGCCGCCAACTCCTCTGACAATACAAGCATCACAGTCACGCTCGATAGGAGGGGGGGCCGAGGGGGGCCGGAGGGGGGCCGGAGGGGTCCTGTCTGCCCTGGGCCCGGAGCAGCACTGGGACGGGGACCACTCAGCCAAATCCCAGGAAACAGCCGCAGAAACAAGGCCATTTTAACAAACAATGTCAGGATCAAGCTGGAGCCGTGCACACGCTCCTCGTGCACACGCTCCTCGTGCACACGCTCCTCGTGCACACGCTCCTCGTGCACACGCTCCTCGTGCACACGCCCTCGTGCACGTCTGGGACCAGCCAAGGAGAATAATGTGCATTGAGAAGTGTGTGTCGTGGGACCGCGGACTGATTTTAAATTCACAAATCTGTGTGTTTGATACGTGGTTAAACCTGCAGGAAGAGAATAGAACTGAATCTGAAGAAATGTTGTGTTTGTGGTTTTTAACAAACTAATTAATGAATGAGAGAAAAGACAGTTTTTAGGAACAGAAACATGTAGAGATCAGAGATTAATGATGGTATTTATAGATATAGCATATATATATATATATATATATATATCTATAGCAAAAATAAAAAATAAAATCGCTGATTCTGAAATGCTAACAACAGTAATTATCAGCAACAGTCCTTCAGGTCACAGCAGCAGAGGTGGAGTAGTCTCTGGGTGGAGCAGGACGGGTCAAAAGGTGGAGCAGCCGCTTGGTTCAGACCATTTTCTCTGCTCTGGTCCAAAGTAAAATGCTGAATGGTTCATTAGCATTTTTCAAAAGTTAGCATTCCTCCAGTGGTCTTTCATCTGATCCACTTGGTTTGGACCATGAATCCTCTCCGCTCTGGTCTGGACCAGTGTAAAACCATGAATCCTCTCCGCTCTGGTCTGGACCAGTGTAAAACCATGAATCCTCTCTGCTCTGGTCTGGACCAGTGTAAAACCATGAATCCTCTCTGCTCTGGTCTGGACCAGTGTAAAACCATGAATCCTCTCTGCTCTGGTCTGGACCAGTGTAAAACCATGAATCCTCTCTGCTCTGGTCTGGACCAGTGTAAAACCATGAATCCTCTCTGCTCTGGTCTGGACCAGTGTAAAACCATGAATCCTCTCTGCTCTGGTCTGGACCAGTGTAAAACCATGAATCCTCTCTGCTCTGGTCTGGACCAGTGTAAAACCATGAATCCTCTCTGCTCTGGTCTGGACCAGTGTAAAACCATGAATCCTCTCTGCTCTGGTCTGGACCAGTGTAAAACCATGAACACTGAACTGCAGCAACATCTTAGGTATAGAAAAAAGAATAATAAAATGCATAAAGCACACACATCACCACATTGTTCTTCTGGAGTTTTCTGAACAACTTTTCCTGAGAGAACTCAGACTCTGAGCTGTGAGAGCGAGGCGCAGGGAGCCGCAGACAAACAGATTCTTCCACACCTCGCCGTTCTGCCTGGAGGCTTCTCACAGGTACGATTTCTTACCCTCAGCTGAAAATGAGAATCTCCAAATTAGAAGTCAGGGATTCATGTCGAAGCCTGACCCGCTTTTCTCACCTCGGACCTGGCAACGCCGAGCAGATCTATACCGAGCTCCCCGTCTGCCTGTCGTTTATTAGATTCTCTTCAGACTCGGACGCTTCTTGTTTTTCTTTTGAGGTTTTCTGTCGTCTGTTTTTTTAGTGGAGCTTGTGTTTGAAGCTAATTGAATCAATCCACGTCGACTGAAGAACAGGAAAAATACTTCACTGTCATTCATTAAGACACACAGAAAATACAGTTTTTATTATTATGCCAAAGGGTCAGGGGTTGTTGTTCTTAAGTCTTGCTTCTTCATCAAACTAAAGTTACTGACTTATTTCCTTATTATGCTAAAGATAAATTATGCTTATTATGCTAAAGAAGATTGCTTCTCCTTTTTTCCTCATGCTCGGTAAAAGGCGTGGACCTCACAGATACAGAGGCTCATCATCTTCTACACAGTCACACATGGACATTGGTCTCTGTCCCAAATGTCTCGATGTCAGGGGTGTCCAAACTTTTTAGTAAGACGGCCACTGTAGTTCATCAGACTTGACCTGGGCCTGACAACCTGGATTTAACCTCTTAAACTACATCTGTTTTGGCTCGTGCACAAATGTCTTTGCTTATTTAAAAGCACATCTTACATCTCACATGCTTGTGTGATGCATCATTTTAAAGCTAGGCCCTTCTAGTTTATGTAAATATACACTGAAATAATGTATGTCATTCCTATTTCACTCTGCATCCTTTGAAGTTTGGGAACAAAACCTGTTTTTTTAGCCTCGCCTAAAACATTCAATGTATAAATTACGGTACCTAAAAAAGCAGACTTCATTGGAAGAAGAACATTTTCAACGTCAATTTGTTCATTGTGTTGTTGACAACAACTGTGTAAAGTTTCAGACTTCTAAGTTCTATAGTTTTTATGCAGTTTCTCTTTTTATGAAGTAGTGCCATTCGGAACCAGTTTGGCAAAATTTGTGCCAACTGCTTTACTAACATTTCATCATCATAAAAATCATATTTTTTAGTTTTGGTATTTATAAGTTACAAATCTGTGTGATTTTCTTTTACATTTTTTCAAATATGTTTTTTTTAGTAGTGTAAATGCATATAAAATATGCGCAGCAGTATTAACAGCGTCTTTACGCACGCTTTTACTGTGAAAATGAAAAGAGTTCCTACAAGTCCCACCCATCAAAAGAAAGCTCTTTTTATTGGCTACTTAGACACGTCAATCATTCAGTGCTAGCACATAGCGCTAGCCTATAATCAACAACAAGACAAGAACCCTGTGCAAGTGTTTGTCTTTTTCACAAGGGTCCTGTGGACTGAAACCTGCTCCTATCTTTAATGGAACCTCTCTTTTTGAAGCTAAGGACTCCAGGAACACGTGGATATGATGTTTGTGGCTAAACAAAGCTCAAACTTGGTGAAATGTGAAAGAGAAGCCTGAACATTTTTCGGAGCGTTTTTTTGCAACAGAAAAATGCACATTTTTGGATTATTTCTGAAGAATGGATTATACTTTGGGAAATACAAGTGGATATTCTTTTTCACTGAAGACTTACGGAGAGAAAGAGACTGAGAAAGGACGGGGAAAGTCTCATTTGTTGGAGCAGCAGAAGACGAAAGGTAAGAAACTTATACAAACACGATTTAACCAAACTAACTTCCCGCGAAAGTCGTCTAAATGTTCCCCTTTGAAACCAGAAGAAGTAGCACTGAAGATAGTTCTGATATATGGAATGTCAATGTCAATGTCAATGTCAATTTTATTTATATAGCACACTTAAAACAGCCACAGCCGCCCAAAGTGCTGTACAACAAACATTGTAAAATACAATTGAAGAGTAAATACAATTGAAGAGTAAAACAGTCACAAAATATACAACATGAGACAATAATAATAAAATACATGGGATCTGCTCAGCTTGTGTTGAAGGCCAAAGCAAAAAAATGGGTTTTCAACAACGACTTAAAAACATGAATGGACTGGGCCATTTTGACATTCAGCGGAAGGCTGTTCCAGAGTCTCGGAGCCGCTACGGCAAAAGCCCGGTCTCCTCTGGTTTTATGCTTCGCTTTCGGCACCTCCAGAGTCATTTGGTTGGAGGATCTCAATGTACGACCTGGATCACGGGTCAACAAAAGCTCCGAAAGGTAAGATGGAGCCAACCCATTCAAGCATTTAAAAACCATCAACAGTATCTTGAATTGAATCCTAAAACTGACTGGAAGCCAGTGCAGAGAGGCCAACACAGGAGTTATGTGCTCACGTTTCCTTGTTCCTGTGAGCAAACGCGCCGCTGCGTTTTGAACCAACTGCTGGAAGAATCATAAAGAACCATTACACAGAGATGTGGAAGCTCATGACGGACCCACGGACATCCCTTTCACTGGAGACAAAGCAGCGTCTGTGGCACTGGAGCGTCTGTGGCACTGCAGCGTCTGTGGCACTGGAGCGTCTGTGGCACTGCAGCGTCTGTGGCACTGGAGCGTCTGTGGCACTGGAGCGTCTGTGGCACTGCAGCGTCTGTGGCACTGGAGCGTCTGTGGCACTGGAGCGTCTGTGGCACTGCAGCGTCTGTGGCACTGGAGCGTCTGTGGCACTGCAGCGTCTGTGGCACTGGAGCGTCTGTGGCACTGCAGCGTCTGTGGCACTGGAGCGTCTGTGGCACTGGAGCATCTGTGGCACTGGAGCGTCTGTGGCACTGGAGCGTCTGTGGCATTGGAGCGTCTGTGGCACTGCAGCGTCTGTGGAACTGCAGCGTCTGTGGCACTGGAGCGTCTGTGGCACTGGAGCGTCTGTGGCACTGGAGCGTCTGTGGCACTGGAGCGTCTGTGGCACTGGAGCGTCTGTGGCACCGCAGCGTCTGTGGCTTAATAGGGTATGGGTAATTTGTGATTGCTGTGTGTGTGTTTGTGTGTGTATAGTTGTGAGCGCGTGGGTGTATGTGTGAGTCCCACAGTGGGGAAATTTCAGTGTTGCATCACAAGTTCCAGACAGTATAAATGAAGAGCACACAGCACAAGATGAATTAATTATTACTCTCTAACTCCAGCATAAAAAGAAGCAGTGGAAAATATCTGACTTTGTGTGTGTGTAGGTGTGTGGGTGTGTGTCTATTTGTGCATGTGTGTGTCTGTGTGTATGTGTGTGTGTGCATGTGTGTGTGTAAGTATTTGTGGGTGTATATGCGTGTGCATGTGTGTGTATGTGTGTGTGTCTGTGTCTATTTGTACGTGTTTGTCTATGTGTATGTGTATGCATATGTGTGCCTGTGTGTGTGTGCGTGTGTATGTGTGTGTCTGTATGTGCGCATGTGTATGTGTGTGTGTGGAAAGAAACAGCCAGAGAAATAGTCATGTCTTTTTAATTACAGATACATCACACAACATTATCGATACAACATTTTATTCAATAACATTTTAGGTACATTTTTTATCACCACTAAATCAAACAAGTCCCTTTTTTTAGTCAGCACAAATATAAACACATATACTGTCGTCAAACTGAAAACAAATACAAACCGATGCAGAACAGAAACATTAATCTTTGTACTGATTTTGGCTTCAGCAGCGAAAGAGAAACCATCCAAACCCACAGTTGGATCATTCAGGCACCTTCTTCATATTCAACCTCTCACTTGTGTTTTTCTCTTGATAAGAAACGGGTCGTCCGCTTTGAAGAGTCCAGTATCGTTTATATTTATGATTTAAAACAAAGGACCTAAAAAACAGACTCTGGGATCGACTGCTGAGGTCTGCAGGAGGTGATACTGACCGAGCGCGGAAGCAACAGTTTCTCAGTTCCCTTTTTCACTGCACACTGTAAACAAGGGGCAGGTGTGGCTGGGGCAGGTGTGGCTGGGGAAGGAGCGGCTGTGGCAGGAGCGTCTGTGGCAGGTGTGGCTGGGGCAGGAGCGTCTGTGGCAGGAGCGTCTGTGGCAGGTGTGGCTGAGGCAGGTGTGGCTGGGGCAGGAGCGTCTGTGGCAGGAGCGTCTGTGGCAGGTGTGGCTGGGGCAGGAGCGTCTGTGGCAGGAGCGTCTGTGGCAGGTGTGGCTGGGGCAGGAGCGTCTGTGGCAGGTGTGGCTGTGGCTGAGGCAGGTGTGGCTGGGGCAGGAGCGGCTGTGGCAGGTGTGGCTGGGGCAGGAGCGGCTGTGGCAGGTGTGGCTGGGGCAGGTGTGGCTGGGGCAGGTGTGGCTGGGGAAGGAGCGGCTGTGGCAGGAGCGTCTGTGGCAGGTGTGGCTGGGGCAGGAGCGTCTGTGGCAGGAGCGTCTGTGGCAGGTGTGGCTGGGGCAGGAGCGTCTGTGGCAGGAGCGTCTGTGGCAGGAGCGTCTGTGGCAGGTGTGGCTGAGGCAGGTGTGGCTGGGGCAGGAGCGTCTGTGGCAGGAGCGTCTGTGGCAGGTGTGGCTGGGGCAGGAGCGTCTGTGGCAGGAGCGTCTGTGGCAGGTGTGGCTGGGGCAGGAGCGTCTGTGGCAGGTGTGGTTGTGGCTGGGGCAGGTGTGGCTGGGGCAGGTGTGGCTGGGGAAGGAGCGGCTGTGGCAGGTGTGGCTGGGGAAGGAGCGGCTGTGGCAGGTGTGGCTGGGGAAGGAGCGGCTGTGGCAGGTGTGGCTGGGGCAGGAGCGTCTGTGGCAGGTGTGGCTGTGGCAGGTGTGGCTGTGGCAGGTGGGTCTGTGGCAGATGGGTCTGTCTTGCACTGACTGCACGGCCCCCTGAAGAGGCGCAGAAGGGACTGAAGCAGCTCCCAAAAGAAGAGCGTCCCACTGAGGGCTGGCATCCCGCGCTGGCCTGCTCCTCAGGACCCCCCCCCCCTCAAGACCCCCCTACAGCACCTTCCACAGCACCCCCCCACATTGACCGGGGCCCAGGCGCAGACCAGAGCCTCCTCTCTGCTGCACTACTGTCTCTGCTGCACTACTGTCTCTGCTGCACTACTGCCTCTGCTGCACTACTGTCTCTGCTGCACTACTGCCTCTGCTGCACTACTGCCTCTGCTGCACTACTGTCTCTGCTGCACTACTGTCTCTGCTGCACTACTGCCTCTGCTGCACTACTGTCTCTGCTGCACTACTGCCTCTGCTGCACTACTGCCTCTGCTGCACTACTATCTCTGCTGCACTACTGTCTCTGCTGCACTACTGTCTCTGCTGCACTACTGCCTCTGCTGCACTACTGCCTCTGCTGCACTACTGTCTCTGCTGCACTACTGTCTCTGCTGCACTACTGCCTCTGCTGCACTACTGCCTCTGCTGCACTACTGCCTCTGCTGCACTACTGTCTCTGCTGCACTACTGTCTCTGCTGCACTACTGTCTCTGCTGCACTACTGCCTCTGCTGCACTACTGTCTCTGCTGCACTACTGCCTCTGCTGCACTACTGTCTCTGCTGCACTACTGCCTCTGCTGCACTACTGCCTCTGCTGCACTACTGCCTCTGCTGCACTACTGCCTCTGCTGCACTACTGTCTCTGCTGCACTACTGCCTCTGCTGCACTACTGTCTCTGCTGCACTACTGTCTCTGCTGCACTACTGCCTCTGCTGGACTACTGTCTCTGCTGCACTACTGTCTCTGCTGCACTACTGTCTCTGCTGCACTACTGTCTCTGCTGCACTACTATCTCTGCTGCACTACTGTCTCTGCTGCACTACTGTCTCTGCTGCACTACTGCCTCTGCTGCACTACTGCCTCTGCTGCACTACTGTCTCTGCTGCACTACTGCCTCTGCTGCACTACTGCCTCTGCTGGACTACTGTCTCTGCTGCACTACTGCCTCTGCTGCACTACTGTCTCTGCTGCACTACTGTCTCTGCTGCACTACTGTCTCTGCTGCACTACTGCCTCTGCTGCACTACTGCCTCTGCTGCACTACTGTCTCTGCTGCACTACTGCTCTGCTGCACTACTGTCTGCTGCACTACTGTCTCTGCTGCACTACTGTCTCTGCTGCACTACTGCCTACTGTCTCTGCTGCACTACTGTCTCTGCTGCACTACTGTCTCTGCTGCACTACTGTCTCTGCTGCACTACTGTCTCTGCTGCACTACTGTCTCTGCTGCATACTGTCTCTGCTGCACTACTGCCTCTGCTGCACTACTGTCTCTGCTGCACTACTGTCTCTGCTGCACTACTGTCTCTGCTGCACTACTGTCTCTGCTGCACTACTGCCTCTGCTGCACTACTGTCTCTGCTGCACTACTGTCTCTGCTGCACTACTGCCTCTGCTGCACTACTGTCTCTGCTGCACTACTGTCTCTGCTGCACTACTGCCTCTGCTGCACTACTGCCTCTGCTGCACTACTGTCTCTGCTGCACTACTGCTCTGCTGCACTACTGTCTCTGCTGCACTACTGTCTCTGCTGCACTACTGTCTCTGCTGCACTACTGTCTCTGCTGCACTACTGCTCTGCTGCATACTGTCTCTGCTGCACTACTGTCTCTGCTGCACTACTGCCTCTGCTGCACTACTGCCTCTGCTGCACTACTGTCTCTGCTGCACTACTGCCTCTGCTGGACTACTGTCTCTGCTGCACTACTGTCTCTGCTGCACTACTGTCTCTGCTGCACTACTGTCTCTGCTGCACTACTGCCTCTGCTGCACTACTGTCTCTGCTGCACTACTGTCTCTGCTGCACTACTGCCTCTGCTGCACTACTGTCTCTGCTGCACTACTGCCTCTGCTGCACTACTGTCTCTGCTGCACTACTGCCTCTGCTGGACTACTGTCTCTGCTGCACTACTGTCTCTGCTGCACTACTGTCTCTGCTGCACTACTGTCTCTGCTGCACTACTGCCTCTGCTGCACTACTGTCTCTGCTGCACTACTGTCTCTGCTGCACTACTGCCTCTGCTGCACTACTGCCTCTGCTGCACTACTGTCTCTGCTGCACTACTGCCTCTGCTGGACTACTGTCTCTGCTGCACTACTGTCTCTGCTGCACTACTGTCTCTGCTGCACTACTGTCTCTGCTGCACTACTGCCTCTGCTGCACTACTGTCTCTGCTGCACTACTGTCTCTGCTGCACTACTGTCTCTGCTGCACTACTGTCTCTGCTGCACTACTGCCTCTGCTGCACTACTGTCTCTGCTGCACTACTGTCTCTGCTGCACTACTGTCTCTGCTGCACTACTGTCTCTGCTGCACTACTGCCTCTGCTGCACTACTGCCTCTGCTGCACTACTGTCTCTGCTGCACTACTGCCTCTGCTGGACTACTGTCTCTGCTGCACTACTGTCTCTGCTGCACTACTGCCTCTGCTGCACTACTGTCTCTGCTGCACTACTGTCTCTGCTGCACTACTGCCTCTGCTGCACTACTGCCTCTGCTGCACTACTGCCTCTGCTGCACTACTGCCTCTGCTGCACTACTGTCTCTGCTCTCACAAATGTGTGCAGACTGATTTGTTGTGATGAAGAGTAATCTGTTTATGCAGATGTAACTTCTCATCTTGTGTCTGCTTCTCTGGAGGTCCAGTCCTGTTCCGTTATGTGGCAAACACACACAGCTTGAGCTGTGAATTTTCTTTGTAAGGTGACATTTCCTGGCTATGTGCAAATAAAGCACAAAACGCTGTCGCAAGAAAAGAATGAAGTGGATTTTGTGCAAGAAATGTTCTGTTTCAGGAACAAGAATTTAAGATCAAATGTGATCTACGTATTTCTTTACGAGGATGACACTAATCAATGATTATTGTGAATAACACACATTATTAAAAGCTATACAAATAGGAGGATGTTTCTATTACTGTCCAATACAAACCCAATTCTCAGCCCATGGGATTAGAACCCAGCGCTGGTCACATGATATGTGAGTCCGCAGGAGGCGCCGAGCCGCGGAGCTGGATTGGTGATAATTGGTTGAAGGACAGAATACTGTAATAAAGGCTCTAAGTATCTGGGCCGGAGTGTTTCTGTTTTACCACCTCTATTTCCATCGCAATTAATGCATGCTGCGGCTGCACGAGGAGGAGCTGCAGGTGCAAAGGAAGTGCAGGAAACAAACACATCAAAGCCAAGGACTGACAGGATTCTGCAGCCGCGCCTGCCCTGTGCTCACCGTGTCATTACAGAAGCATCTCCGTGTGATGTCACATGTCTGCAGCTCCGGTTTGTTTGTCTGAAATGAAGCATCATATTAAAATATGGATTAAGCTCGTACCTGTGTTCTCCAGAACAGGACGACACAGAGAGATGGAGTCTGTTTGATGAAGATCAGAAGGATTGAAAGGATCTCAGCAAATATCCAATAGTAGGTCTCGCTGTGATGAGTTACCCATAATCCACCAGGACGACTCGGGCTCATTTCAAAGTAAGATGGAGTTTTTGCGTTGATTCCACTCGACTGAGATGTGATCGGATTCGTCCTGTGAGGGAACGACAGCCGGAGCCGTTCCCAATTTCGGTTGAGCTGAGATTGTCTCCGCTGCGTTATTCCGCTGCCCACTGGACCGTGCTCGTCCCAATGTGAGGAAACACACACATGGCTGCGTTAGCTTATGGATGTGTAGCGTCTGCAGGACATGGCCTCACAACACCTCCTGAAGGGGTCTTAATGTATAACGCAATCACAGCCACAGCCTGAATCTAAAGGAGACAGTGTGTGCTCTGCTTCATCTGCAGGACCAACTTTAGAACATTTACATTTGTTCATCATCACGCTCCGAGTCCTCCCAACGCCTCCTGTCTGTGCTTGTTTGTGGATAGCACTTTCGCTTCTCAGCAAGAAGGTCCTCTGAGTTCGAATCCCGGTCGGAACAGGGCCTTTCTCTCCCCGTGTCTATGTAGGTTTCCTCCAGGTGCTCCGGTTTCCCCTGCCTCTAAAAACATGGACAATAGGTCTGTGCCTCCTGTGCTGGCCCCTCCCATCTCTGTGTGGAGTGACAGACTAATGCCCACAACTGTAAACCGCTTTGACTCTGGTCTGAGAAAAGGCGCTATAAACAATAAATAAACATTAAAAAAACAGGCGGCACGGTGGCTGAGTGGATAGCACTCTCGGCTCTCAGCAAGAAGGTCCTGAGTTCAAATCCTGGCCGGGCCAGGGCCTTTCTGAGTGGAGTTTGCATGTTCTCCCCGTGTCTGCGTAGGTTTCCTCCGGGTACTCCGGTTTCCCCTACTGCTAAAAATATGTACAATAGTTCTGGCATGTGCCTCCTGTACTGGCCCCGCTCCCATCTCTGTGTGGAGTGAGAGACAAGTGCCCAAAATGAACAATTGTAAACCGCTTTGAGACTCAGATCTGCAGTGAAAAGGCGGTATATAAATTATTACTTATTTACTTACTTACATTTTGTGTTAAAACGGTTTGATTCTCAGATCTGCTCCTTTGAGTCCAGCGAGATCACGGCTTTGGATTTAGGGTGATGCCAAATTCAAATGGAAAACATGAATATGGCTCAAAAGTCCATTTGCTTCTGTAATTTAACGATTTCAACCCAACCCATGACCGACGGGACATTCCATGTTTCCTCAAACCATTTTTACAAACTGTTTATTTCGCATTTGTTTGAAATAAAAACAAATCCTACTTCTTCTTGGAACAAAAGCCTTCTGTAATAAGTATAATGTTGATAATTGGCTCACAGAACATTGGAAGATTTTGAGAAAAGTCTGACAGTAAATATCATCATTATTATTTTTCCAAAGAGAAGCTGATGATGTTCATTTGAGCCAAAAGGCCTTCACAGATGTGTCAAATACTGGATAATTTACCTGATTTCATTTGGAAAAACAATGCATGGTCCTAAAGTACATCTCACTGCAAGACTGAGACCAAAGCATGAAGTGGAACAACTGTATATTTTCTTTGAACCAGTTGAAACCAGCCTCAGTGACATATTGTTTGCATTTACACCTAGCAATGTTGTGGTGGAAAGTTGGCAGCGCAGTGCGGCTGTATTTATCCTGTATAATCCTGTACTTGATACCAACATATGATGGAATATGACAAGTTTAAAAACAGCAGGTACCGTCAGCGTCATCTGTTACTCAGAGGCCGGACCACTTCTTCTACAGAGTGTGTTTGTAGATGGACAATAACCCTCCAGCTCAGTGAAGTGCTCATAGACAAAGTCACGCTCCGTCTGGCTCTGGACCTAAACTCCTCTGGCTCAGTAAGTGTCCCAATAAGCGCTATATAAAACCAATGCACTATTACTATTATTATTATTATTATTTTTAATATTAAGGGTGTATTCAGACCTGCACTTTTGGTCCACTTTAAACGGACCAGGATTCGTTTGGAACTCTGATCCGGACCTTTTATGCAGAGCAGACATTTCCTTCTATCTTTCATCTATTCTCCGTGAGCTCTCGCTGTCCAATAGGAGCGCCGATCGTAAAAAAAGTTAACTTGTTAAAAGTACGAACCGGACCAAAAGAATAAATGTTTGGTCCGCTTTTTGTTCGGACCAAGCAAGCGGACCAACGGACTTTTCTGGTCCGAATACACCCTTGTTTTGTTCCGCACTTGCTCTGCCTTGTCTATGAATTGTGCCATACTAATAAACTTGCCTTGTTCTGCAGTCGCTGTGTTTACTTTGGTCTCTGAGTGTTTCCCCCACGGCTCTCTTCTTCTTCTCCATTCTCCAGATAAAAAACCGCAGCGAGGAGACGGCGAGGGAGGGGTGTCCGGACCAGAATGCAGCGTCCTGAATACACCGGGGCAAATTGCCATGTGGCGTTTTGTGAGCTGAGTGGACAACCTTTGGACCGTGATTACCATCTGCTAATGAGCGCCTGGGTTCGGGTCCCGCTCTGCTCCGGTGGTACTCCTGTGCAGACCTGCCACGGCCGCCGCTCTGTGAGGCCGCTGTTAATGGGCAGACGCACACATCAGTAATTAAAGCAGCGGGGGGTCCTTGTACCGCCGCGGCTCTTTCCAATCTCCGTCCTTTTAAAGCCAGCGCGCCTCTCGGTTCAATCCCGTCTGCCCAATTGATCATTGTGCGCGGCCAGTTTGGCCCCGGGCAGTTTTGTCACTTTCTAATGACGGCTTGAGAGGCTTGTGTCTCTGCGGCACCAGCAGTCGGGGCCAAGCGCTGGTTCAGATCAGACTCAGGCCAATTTAGACGCGCGGTACGGTTAGCCGCTAATCGAAATGGCAATTCTCATCACAAAGACGGCAGTTTTCGAAAATAGGGACTAAATATGCGCAAAAAATATGAAGAAATTAGAGTATTTTGAAGATTTTTCATTAGAACAAGTCTTGTATTGTTTTTGGGCAGAAGCATTTTTATTGTTTAGTTTTTCTTCATAATCTTTAAACTGTGGCCAAGATTTATTACCAAAAAATTACTGAACTCAATGTTTACATTTCTTTGCAGTGAACCTTTTATTTCTACTTTTTAATATATTAGAAAATAGATCAATGTTGGTCAGAAATATTCAATTATATTTCAGACAAAATCGTGCATAACTGAGATCAACAAAAATCACATAAAAATCACATTAATGACAGCAGTAGTCGTCTCGAGGGGCGCAACATCATTGTCAATACGTTAGCAGCAGATTAGAAAATATAATAACACAAAGAGATACAACAAAAAAACACATTAGAGTCACGATCAAAACAGTTGAACCAATGTCCATAAATCTAGACCCTATAATCTGTACATATTAAAGGCAGAGCATTTATACATTTTCTATATACAGCAAATACACCTTCTCTGAATCCTTCATCAGTATTTGCATTTCTCTGATAATAATCACGTTCAGGCAGTTTTCAGAAGCCGACCTTTTTCTGATCTAATATCAACCAGAGCAACATGTTTCTGTCGAGGTATTTGCCATTTTTCTGTAGCTTAAATCAAGACGAGGAGAAACCAGACAAGTCCGGTCAGGTCTGGATCTTACAGCGTGTGGATCACAATAAGACTCTCCACAACATTGCAGCCGTATGTGTCTGTTTGCATGCTCTCTCTGTGCAGCGCTCTCCCCGAGGGCCGCTCTGCTCGAGGCAGGATGTCCCCGAATCTCAGACCATCCACAGGGACTGTCTCACACGTCTGACAAACCAGACCTAGAACCATCAACGCAGGACGCAAATGTTGACAGTGGAGAAAGGAGAAAATATAAATCAGGCTGGGGTTCCCAATCTGAGGTACCTGCAACACAGAAAGTCAAAATAAAATGCCAAAAACAAACAATACGCCGTCTTTATCGTCAAGTTATCGTTCACAAACTTGCCGCTTTTTTTCACTTTCCTTTTTTTACATTCCAAGTGATTGAGTAATGTTTTTATGTATAGCGCATTTTACCGACCACACAAAGCGCTTTGCAACGTTCAGAAATCAGATATTGTTCCATTCTCCCCACACGGTGAAGACAAAAGCAAGGCTAGAACACACTGGTCCGTCAAAGCCTCCGACCAAACACCCTCCATTCACTCACTCTTTACACTCAGACCTATTGTGCATGTTTTTAGTGGTAGGGGAAACTGGAGCACCCGGAGGAAACCTGCACAGACACGTGGAGAACATGTAAACCTGACTCAGAAAGGCCCTGTTACGACCGGGATTCGAACCCGTTCTTGCTGAGAAGCGAGACTGCTAACCACTCAGCCAACGTGTTACCGGGTTTTCACAATTGTATACAGTTTGGCAATTCATCAGAAAGTACAGAACACTTAAATAAACCGGATTAGATTTATTTATGCTGTTACATTGTGCAGAGAAAATGCTGAGGAAGAAAAAGAAAAAAAATAGACATTTTCACTTTTATGTCTGAAAAATCTGCTCTAAAGAAGAACATTAGTCACAAGGATTTTAATATAAGGTTAATTTTTGTCTGTTTGAAAGTACCCCAGCTTTAATACACCTGCAGAAAACCATAACAATATTGATTTACATTTGAATTAATTACAAAAAAATATCCAGAATTAGCTCAAAGCGTTTGGTTTTTGTCAGGACACATTTACAGATACCCGCACCAGTCACGTCACGGGCACTTTTATCCAGATCATAACATATTTTTACCACCTTGCTTTGGTAGAGTCAGAGCCCACATCCGAACGAAGCCCACAGACGAACCATATTTCTAATTATCAACTCGACAAAAGAGTGGAGCTCGGGATTCCCTTTGGGGCCGAGCTGCTGCTTCACTTCCTGCACATATGCCGACGGTCTGCAGCTCCGAGCCGTGTAATTAAAATAACCTATACCCACATTACCAGAGCGTACATTGGTTCTCTCTCTTCCCCTTATCTCTCGCAGACCCCCTGAGTACGGCGTTTTACATTTCTGTTTGTAAAACTGTCAACACATCCACTGGCTGCACTAACGTGTGATTTAGCGCCAGCAGAGAAGAGGGAGAAGTGTGCGAGAGGCAACGGCATGAGATCTGCACATTCTCAAACTACACTTTTTCTGCTGCAGCAATGTCCCAAAAACAACGTCTACATCCTTTTGAAGAACAGCACAATGTTGTCGTTTTTCAGACACGAGTATTTATAGAAATCAAGCTTTATTCATGGGATTACTGTGGGAGAATAAAGTACATTTATTGTATTTATATTTGTGTTTCTGTGGTTTTATGTCCCTCCTCTGGTGCTCTGTCTGTAAGTGATGTTCTTACAGATCAATAAAGTTATTTTGATTGAATTTCTTTTTGTCATGGTGTGGACTTTTACTTTTCATGGTTTTATTTTGATTTTACTGGAGGATCTTTGTTTACATCCGTGTGCGCAGGTGCCACTCGCTGGTAGCAAGAAAACAGAGCAGCTCAAACTGAGGCATGGATGGAGTACTTTTAAAAGACTTTTAAAAGACATATATATAAGCACTTTAACACAAGAAGATCAGAGGAGATATAAACACAAGCTAAACATAAGTATTTGAGACCGAACTGAACCAATCCAAAGCCCATAGAGACCTGGGAGGAGCACATTGGTCTGCACCGATCTGTGAGACATTTACTCTTACTTCATAGAAAACCCGGGACCCTTCACTGAAGCAGAGTCCACAGTGAAAAACGTGAGAAATGGTTTTTCACCGCGGTAAAGTGGCCCGGCATTTCGCCTTTGCGGTAAAGTGGTCCGCACATTAAAAGCGGGTGGCCCCTTTATGCTGTTACTTACGGTAAATGTGGAAAAGGAGCCCGCGGGGATGAGCAACCAAAATGCAATGTTTAAAATTCGCAGTGAAAGTAGTTACAAAACTTAATTTTTTAAATTAATTTTTATCAAAATCAAATCAAAAGTAAAACCTCTCTCCAAAGGTCTAAAACTAGCTAACTCTCTAGCATTCAGGAAGCTTTCTTTGCTGTTTTTCCACCCAGTCTTACCACACCATAGTACTCATTTCATTTCATACTAAGGTCTGGATTGTCTCCATTGACTCCGTTAACAGGTGGGAGGGGCTAACTCCTTTTGCAGATTGAAACCATTGGATCTGAGTTTACTGTGACGTATGTAATGAGCCCGAGTGAGTGAGGCATTTAGCATTTGACCTAGCTTTAGCATTTAGCATAGCTTTAGTATTTAGCCTAGCTATAGTATTTAGCCTATTTTTAGCATTAGCCTAGCTTTAGCATTAGCCTAGCTTTAGCCATCTCCTTTGCAGCCTAGCTTTAGCCCGTGGGGAGTAGAGCCACAACATCTTTGCTTCAATGACATTTACTAAACATTCCTCTTGCTCCGGCTTCAGTTTCTTGATATTTGGATTGAACCAAAAACTAGTTGAAATATGTCTCTAAAACGATTGTTCTGTTTTACAGAATAATAGATTTTCAATTTGAATTATTTTTAGAGTTGGGAATTAATTGGTTTCATGTCGAGCACCTGTCACATGTCGCTCAAACAAACCTCGCTGTCGCCAACAACACGGAAGTTATTTACATTTGTGAAAAATTTAGAGAATATTCCTGGTTCTGGATTGCTCTGGTCTGGTCTGGGACTGGTTCTGGATTGCTCTGGTCTGGTCTGGGACTGGTTCTGGATTGGTCTGGTCTGGGACTGGTTCTGGATTGGTCTGGTCTGGGACTGGTTCTGGATTGGTCTGGTCTGGGACTGGTTCTGGTTGCATCACAAGTTACAGATCAGTAGAAATGTGGAGCACCCAACACAAGATAAATAAACAATAACTCTGTACTAAAAGAAAATCATTTTTGGCATCAATTAAAAGTGAATAAAGGTAAAAATAATAATCATAAAAAACTCACAAATGACTTTTCTAAAACCGGTGGAAAACTAACAGTTCTTTTTTTTTAGAATTCCATTGATTTGAATGGGAGCCGTCAAAATGACTGCTCTGGGAGTTCCAGCCTCAGTAAGATCCTTTTACAGCTCGGCCGGTCCCTGAGGCCCCTGCTCCGGTCCCTGAGGCCCCTGCTCCGGTCCCTGAGGCCCCTGCTCCGGTCCCTGAGGTCAGAGTCATAATGAAATCAGCGCCTACTTTACACCACAACATTAGTGAGTCTCCCGTCGATACAGAGCAGTCACATCTCCCCGGAATCAAACTCCAATCACTTCTTTAGTCATTATTCTGTTATTGTGTCTCCACTGTACTGACTGACACCGTGTGCTGCCGATTTGAAGAAGAAGAAGAAAAAATTCAGTTTGATGAATACACATCAAGGCAAACGGCAAACATTACCTCCGTGCTTCTTACAGGCAAAGAGGGTAAAGTGTCTTGCCCAAGGACACGACAACATCAGACATCTGTGGGAGTGGACACGACAAACTGAGCCACTGTCGCCCCAGATTGCTTGAGGATGTGGGGAAGAAGGAGAGATCTTTCCTCCCTGCTGCTGTCAGACTGTACAATGAACACTGACAAACCACCACCGTGCCGCTCATGACACGGTGGCTGAGTGGTTAGCCCTCTCGCTTCTGAGCAAGAAAGTCCTGGGCGGAACAGGTTCTTTCTGAGTAGAGTTTGCATGTTCTCCCCGTGTCTGCGTGGGTTACCTCCTGGTGCTCCGGTTTCCCCTACCACCAAGAACATGTACAGTAGTCCCGGGTGAGTTTGTGAGTGCGACAGTGGGACAACCGATGCAAATTAGCACTTGTATAAAGTAGAAATTCTAAAACATTTTATGAAGATTTTCCTCGCATGGCTTTATATTTATTTTTTTTTACTTTAGAACTTGTTTCCAGCAGGAGCCAAAGTACATTCGTAGTTAGTGACTTCCTGTTATTACGCAGCAAATAAATCTGAGACAAGACGGATGGTGATATGTTTATACTTTGTTTTTCTACTGAGCTAAAGATGGAGATTTGAGCTGCACTTAATGTTGACCTACTGTATCCTGTGAAGCAACACTGGAATTTCCCTACTGTACGACCAATAATCTTAATATTAGAATTATATATTTGAGAGCCAGATCCTATGATGGTAAAATGTGGGCACGGCGTGTAGTAACCTCTGAGTAACTTCTGAGTAACTCTGAGTAACTCAGAGTTACTCAGAAGTTACTCAGAGGTTAGTCAGAGGTTACTCAGAGTAACCTCTGAGTAACCTCCGAGTAACCTCTGAGTAACCTCTGAGTAACTCTGAGTAACCTCTAAGTAACCTCTGAGTAACTCTGAGTAACCTCTAAGTAACCTCGAGTAACCTCTGAGTAACCTCTGAGTAACTCTGAGTAACCTCTGAGTAACCTCTGAGTAACCTCTGAGTAACCTCTGAGTAACCTCTGAGTAACTCTGAGTAACCTCTAAGTAACCTCGAGTAACCTCTGAGTAACCTCTGAGTAACCTCTGAGTAACTCTGAGTAACCTCTGAGTAACTCTGAGTAACCTCTGAGTAACCTCTGAGTAACCTCTGAGTAACCTCTGAGTAACTCTGAGTAACCTCTGAGTAACTCTGAGTAACCTCTGAGTAACCTCTGGGTAACCTCTGAGCAACCTCTGAGTAACCTCTGAGTAACATCTGAGTAACCTCTGAGTAACATCTGAGTAACTCTGAGTAACTCTGAGTAACATCTGAGTAACTCTGAGTAACCTCTGAGTAACCTCTGAGTAACTCTGAGTAACATCTGAGTAACTCTGAGTAACCGTTCCATAACTGGATCTAACGAGAGGATTCATTTCCTC